CTTCTTACCTGTTCGAAAGCCTCAAATAAGGCTTCTCAAGGATACACGGTGAATCAGCACTCCTCAGGGACAGACACCATTGAGTTATAGGAGAGAAGAGTTTGGCTTGTGGAACCAAGTAATTACACGGAAATTTATTCTTTACTAGCCCAGATGGGGTTTTGTCTTACTGTTTTTCAGTTTTTTGTTTTTTTTTTTTTTGGTGGGAGTGGGGGGGCGCAGAAGAAAGGCATAACAAAATAAATCCAAAAGGAAACTGTATGTGAAAGCCCCCATATTACAATCTGGAAGTGATGAATTTAAAGATGCAGAAGTCAGCGGGTTTGGTATTCAGGATTTTCACGGTCATATTTAACTTGTGTTCATGGTATACAAGTAAATTCTAGGTTATTGTCCTTGTATGGGATCACTGCTAAACATGTATTCTTTTTGGTTGTTTTGGCTGTTAGCCTTAAATATTGGAGCAAGTTAATGTCATATGTGAATTTTAATGTGTACGTCCTCACTTTGGTCTGTGGGTAAAACAGTATACAGGGAGGGGGGACTGTGGGAGATTGGTCCTAGAACTCCTGAGAGTTTTAAGCCACTTAGGGCATTACATATTAGTCTCCTCTCAGAAGGGAATTAAGACCTTTAACAACAGTGGGAAAGATACCAATCTACCTGTCTGTGTTGTCAGTTTTGAGGAGGGATGGAGCCATTGGGCAGCCCACTTTCATCCTGGGTGGGGGATGGAGGAGAGATAGATATTTCAGAGAGGAACCAGAGTTGGTTTAGCCTTTGGGAATATGGCCTGGGTGGGCCCACAGCTGGCACTTGGCACAATGCTCAGTCACTCATGGCCACCGAGGTTCCTCTAGCCTGTAATAATGGGCATGTAGTGATGTCATGCTCATCACTGTGTGGAGAGACCAAGATGCTTAGCACATGGACAGAGGCCAACACCTGAGAGCCATCTGCATTAGAACCCAAATGCCCCCAAATTCCTCTTTCCTTCACTCCTTCTTTTCTCAGAGAAGAGAATATTTAATGCCTATGTGTCAAGTACTGTTATGAGCACTTTGTAATATCTCATCTATTTCTCAAAATATCCCTAAAAGTAGATACTAGCAATACTATTCATATGATTAAGGAACCTAAGGCCTGGGGAGGCTAACTGGCTCAGGTCCCATAATCAGTAAGAGCTGGGATTGGAACCAGGTTTGTCTGACTCTATAGTGCACACTCATCTATTAAATAAAATTTCTTTCAAGACTCTTAGAGCATTCAGGACCTGGCAGGTACAGATGGATGGAAGGGGAAGGGATGAGGGGCTTACTTTGCTTTGAGAGGCAGCTCTGACCCTTCTGTGTCAGGGAGGCCTGGCCTCCTACTCTGCCCTAGTTTTTCTGTGATGAGAGTCTCTAGTCCGCCAAATGTTGAAATGCACAGGGAGGGTGGGCTCTTTCTTTACGCTTATTTAGCACTTGGCTGGCACTTCCAGTCTTGTCTAAGAGTTGACAAGCTGTTAGATAATAAGAGAATAAAGACTTCTCAGTATTGCAGTGTGTTTCTCTGCAAAATGCATACCATAGTCTTTCTGCTCTATGTGGGCCTTGAAAAAATAGCTATTATCTGTATTGAGTACTTTAAGTGCATAAGAACATTTCTTCAAAGTGAATGGAAGCAATGTGATCTTTTCTCTTGGACAGACCTGCCCTCCCCTTCAAACACTGTTTCATATGGAGGCCCCCACCCCCGTGAAGCTTAGCAGGCCACCAAGTCTCATTTCCAGTCAATGTCCTTTAAAAGCCAAAGCAAGCTGACTACAAACTTTTTAACATGTGCCTCTCATCTGCTCAGCAGAAATCCCTGTAACTTGTTAATGGTTCCCTTCTTATTTTTTTTTGTAGTGAAACCAATGGAGGCCTTAAATCAGTACCATTCACTCAATCTTGGGCCATCAGAGAAAACCATTTAGAGTTGTAGAAAGTCATTTGCTCCATCTTGCACCTCCTGCTGCAGGGCTAGGGCCAGTGCCTGATGGAGCGTACCTATAACAGTATAGTGGAGCATGTTGAACAGGTGGTCTCCTCGGAGACCACATAAACACCAGATCAGGGAGAGCAAGGATGGACTTTCAAAGAGAGGAGACCAGATACATATCCCATAAAATACAAATCTCTTTACAGCTGGAGTCAAGTTTCTCCATTTGTGCCATACCACTTATTTTAGTGAAGCTCACGGCATTTAATACGGAAAAGGAGGAAAATTTGCAGAATACCTCGAAGAGAAAGCACAGGCTTGTAGAAAATGAATCTCTGAGTTTTCTGCAAGGCACAGCAGGCTTGGCCATTCAGCCATACAAAAACAAGAAGCATGAGATATTCATCCTCCTCCTTCTAGAATCTTCCCCTTTCTAAATTTCTTCATTATATTAAAATGATTCCTGGGAAAGTACTTATAGTTGACCTTTTACACTGTATATTACTTAAATCCTCAGGTACAGATTTAATTCTGAGAAGGACAGAAACTGAGTCCCGTTAGTTCAAGACCCTCATGTCACAGCTGACGAGAATGAAGAGGTGGCCTGTGTTGCTTGTGGTCATGAGCTGCACAGAGGTCAGTGGGCCTAGAATTGATCAGGCTCAGGGCTCTTCCCGCCATGGCCAGCAGCTGGCTTCCTTCTCCCAGTGGTATTTACAATGTTGGCCTTATCTTGAATTGTGGAATAAAAATCTTTTTACTTCTTTTAAGGGAATTTAAGTTGTGAACTAGAAATGAGCAAAGGCAATTTCCCAAAATGCCTCTAAAATCAGCAGCTATTTATATCCATCCAATTCTACTTTGAGAGTTCATTGGAGAAATTCTTTTGACTATGGAAGAGATGATGTTAGTTAGGCTTTGTAAAAATTTAACTCTGAAGAAACTGCTAACAAGAACCAAATTTATACTTCTACAACTATTACAGTACAGTAGTATTCGTACTTGTACAATACTATTACCTATATCTGTGGATGTAGGCTGAGGCTTGGCCTGCTAAACGTTAACTTTAGATTCCTCTTTGAGGCATCTGTCTCTTAATTCACACATCTGGGACCACACCCCTTCCTGGGACACTGTGGATTGTTTCTTTGTATGCCAGTATCTCAGGAACCCTGCTGGTTCTCATGACTTTTTCCTTACAGATAAAAACCTTATTCCTGCTCCTTTCCACTTAAAATACCCTTTACTGGTTTCTTAGTGCTCAGTTTCTAAGAGTGCCAACATGAGTTGTGGGTGACCTAAAAGGCACCATGAGCCTTGGGGGATCACAGGTCTCAACAATTCTGGGCAAGTTCCAAGCTTGCTCTGAAGGAGAGAATTCCATCTGGAAGATTCCCTATGGAAGACAAAGTGGAATGATTCCACTCATTCTGGAATCAGATAAAGGACCCAGCAGGCCTAGCACTCACCACTGTCTTTAACTTCCACTTGGTGAGAGAGGAAGTGCATGCTGCATGGCTGCTTCCTGGCCCCATGAAAGAGGAAGCTGGTAAAGGTCATTTGGGACCTTCTTAAACAGCGAAGAACACATTTGAAGTAGGTTGGATTGAATTGGCCCTCAATCTGTTGGTATATCACCCACCTGTCTAGCTTTAACATTCACATGGCATAGGATCAATTCTTTCAAATACAGATCAGGAGGTCCTCTAACCCAAAGTGTGGTTCCTGGACCATAGCCCGAGAACTTGTTAGAACAACCCTTCTTTAGACCTATAGAATCAGAAGCTCTGGGGATGGAGTCAGCAATCTGTGGCTTAACAAGCCCTCCTGCTGATTCTCATGCACACTCAAGTTTAAGAATCATTACTCTGGGTACCTAGAAATGAGGAATTTAGGTTGTATCATCGGTTTTCAATCCTGGCTACACATTAGAATCATTTGGGCAGCTTTTAAAACAATACTGACATGGAGGCTCCATGCCCAGAAATCCTCGCTCAGTTTGTCCAAGGTGCAGTCTTGAAACATCAGCATTTTTTAAAGCTGGCAGGTCCTCTCAGCTTGAGAACCACTGGTCTAACTGGATTTCTCATCTCTAGATGAAGAAACTGTATAACCTAATACCTATAGAGGGTAAGTGATATGCCCAGGGTCGTGGGCAATTAGTGTAGTAGAGCTGTGAGTAGAACTCAGATCTCCTGACTCTACATCAGTTTAAGGCCTATTTGGCCTCTTGTGCTCATAAATATCAAAACTCCAAGGATTCCACTCATAGTCTTTGTTTCAGTGTATGAGACTGGGCAGGATCTTATAAAGGGAGAAAAGCGGAGCCTCTGGATCATGGTGGTTTCATTTGGGGTCAGCCTTGCTTTATTCTGACCTAGTTCTTATAATTGTGCTCCAATGCCGTCCATATGACACAACTTCAATCTCACTCCCCACTGCCCCATTCAACTACCTGGGCCCCTCTGCTCTGCCATCCCAGGCCTCAGTCCTGACCTGGTGCCCTGTCTGAGTACCCACTTCCTCTGAAATTAGGGTCTTACTTTGATATCCTACATTTTTGGCTGGAAGACTAAAAATTGCAAAGTAGTCAACAGTCTCTGGTTAAAATGCATCTTTAGTGCATTTCCACTGAGAATAGGAAAAGTTGAGCTAGTGGATTTTAATGCTGATCACCAGAGGTCTTATTAGAAAGTGAATTTGATCGTGAGAAATGGCAAAGTGAATATGGGAGGGTTTATTATTATTTTTTAATATAGGACTTACTAGAGCTCTCACAGAGAGAAATAAGAGTTGGTGTTAATTTTCGTCACACTCTTTGTCCTCCCTTTTGGAGTGTGTGTGTATGTGAGCCTGCATATGTGTGCACAGGTGGAATCACTTAGCATAAGTTGGCTGAGTTAAGAGCAAATAATGGTTCTGCAAAAGTCAGCCCATGCTGGACCTTTGAAGGCACCTCCTAGGCTTGCATTTGGCGTAGACTGACTCATCTTAAGAGGCCTCTGTTTCAATGGTATTCATGTTTTGTTTTTCAGGGGGCAGCACAGGCACTTCCCCAACCACCTCCAGCACTGGGACACCATCCCCTTCAGCTTCTTCTCATCTTTTATCTCCATCCTGTTCTCCTCCAACTTTTCATCTGGCCCCCAACACTTTCAACGTGGGCTGTCGAGAAAGCCAGCTGTGTAATCTAAACCTCTCTGATTATCCACCATGTGCCCGAAGCAACATGGCTGCCTTGCAGAGCTACCCAGGGCTGAGTGACAGTGGCTACAACAGGCTCCAGAGTGGCACTGCTTCAGCCACTCAGCCCTCTGAAACCTTCATGCCTCAGAGGACTCCATCCCTGATCTCAGGAATACCAACTCCTCCCTCGTTGCCTGGCAACAGCAAGATGGAAGCCTATGGTGGCCAGCTGGGGTCCTTCCCCACATCCCAGTTTCAGTATGTCATGCAGGCAGGCAATGCTGCTTCCAGCTCCTCATCACCACACATGTTCGGGGGTGGCCACATGCAGCAGAGCTCCTACAACGCCTTCTCCCTCCACAACCCCTACAACCTGTATGGATATAATTTCCCCACCTCTCCTAGGCTAGCTGCGAGCCCAGAAAAACTGAGCGCCTCTCAAAGCACTTTACTCTGTTCTTCTCCTTCCAACGGGGCCTTTGGAGAGAGGCAGTATCTGCCCTCGGGGATGGAGCACAGCATGCACATGATTAGCCCTTCGCCCAATAATCAGCAGGCAACCAACACCTGCGATGGCCGGCAGTATGGGGCGGTCCCCGGCTCCTCCTCCCAGATGTCTGTACACATGGTTTAAAGGCCAGTCTGAACACCATGGAGTCTACGGCAGTCAAGTCCCCAGAGTCTCCATGGGCAGATCCTTCTCTTTTGGAGCTCAATGCCTTTGGAAAACAGGAACTGTGTATTTTTTTTTTTTTTTTTCTGGAGGAGGAAAACACATACCCAAGAACAACAGAGACACCTTTAAGCCACTGAAGCATAGTGGTAGAATCATCCACAACTCAGTGGCCATTCTTCTGCCTTCCCAAACCTTAGTTTTATAAAGCATTGTCTGCTCCAGAGTGGCCTTTGAAGAGACTGAATAATCACTTCATAATAACATTAAGGGAGATGCTAGCATGTAGCAGCCAAGAAAAGTTATACACACACACACATACAGACCTACCTATACATACATACATGAATACGTACACACACACATACATTCATACACAAACTTGTACGTGCACAAACATACATGCACACTGACTCTGAACTGGGCGAACTCCGTAGAGGGAGGCCCAGCATGGGTGCTTTCACCAAGAATTTGTCTATGTACAATTCTAAATGGACTGGCCGGCGGTAGCTGCCAGCCTTTCTCCCCTGCAGCTTCCCCTGTTTCTGGAATGAACCATGTGTCCTGGAACCCCTCCCCATCGACGAGGGTGGGAAGACATCTACCGCAACTGGACTTGGCCTCCGGAAGAAGATTGCTTTTGAACTTTGGCTGTCTTCACTCAGCGTGCTGTCTTTGACGTTCTGGTGGCGCCTGTGGAAAAGAGAGAGTGAGAGCAGCTGAACAGGAGAGGGAGAAAGAGAAAGAATAGAGCGTGGAAGAGAGCTGGAGAGCGAGACTGAGAGAGAAAGTGCAAGCAATGATGAGAGTTTTAATTCGCCAAGGAAATTTGTTTTTGGTTTGTCCTCCCCGTCCCCCAACAGGTTATGGAAAGAATCATGGCGTTACTGAGGAGCAAGCCTCTCTGGGACACTGCATGGGCAGGGCACTGAGGAGGGCGGGCGAGGAATGCATCTGATCCCACAGCTCCTACCTGTGCTATCCAGAAGAGAGGTGCAGCATGTGGGAAGTGCCGATTCCACAGCATGCAGCCTGGCAGGGAAGGGAAATCGAAGGGTATGAAGAAGGAAGAGTTTTATAATCTTGGCAGACGATACCAAGAGCAAAGACAAATAGAGGCCTGGCCTAGGCATGCCAGATCCAGATACCCAGACAGCTGACCTGGAATGCCTGCCCATAGCTCCCAGGGCAGGAAAAATCCCCTCACGTCCCAGGAATTGCAGATGGGTCTTCTGTACCCTTCCACCTGCCCTTAGAGCTCATTTTCATCAAAATAGTTCATTGCATTTTGAAGTTTTGGGTTTTTTTCCCTTCATCTTTCCCTTTCCCTTCAAATCTTTTAATGATAAGAAAACAAGTGAAGCTTGGTGCAAGCTAAAATTTTTAAATGGTGTGGAAATGCAAATAATACCAAGTAAAATAATACAGATATTATTAAGATTTTTGGTTTTGAGGTGTTGTAGATAAATGTATTTATGTGCTTAGTGGGGAATCCAATATTATGAATATTAAAAAAGGGGGCAATAAAAGGGTATGTAAAATATGTATGAAGAAGAGGTGTATAAAAATTTGCCCTTATGCGCGGAACTCTGTTTCTAAGTGCCAAGCACAGAAAGCCGCTAAATAAAATCTTTGCAATTATTTTCTGCATGTTTGTTCATATAGAAGAATTAAATAATGACTTGTGCATTTTCATTATGCTTTATGATCAGTATAGAACTTTCATATATATTACTGTATGTGATCTTTATACAGACCCCATGAAGTAAATATTTCCATCCTCATTTTATAACTAGTAACTGCACTCCAGAGAGATTGAGTGAATTATACGGGATGGTGCAGCCTGGCAGAAAGGGAACTAGAACTTGAAACCACGTTGTCTGACTCTAATGGGATGTTTGCTTTCATATTAGCAGCAGAAACCTGTGTGAGTTGCTATGTGCCACCAGACACTATGCCATGTATTTCACATGATTATCTCATCTTCCCACAGTTCTCTTTAATGAAACGGTGAAAATTTATTGTAAAATGGCATATTGATTACACACAAAGTGCTGTTTAGTGGAAAGATTATTCTTCTATAGGCTAAGATGCTCCACCCTTGGTCATTTTTCTTAGAGAAAGGCTGTCTTGTTCATCTTTGCATCCTCAATGCCTAGGACGGTTCCTGGCCTATGATATTAATAGAATCTCAGTACGTGTTATTACTGTTGGATTTGTCCATCAAAGCCATTTTTCAAGGATAGTGCAAAAGGGTTGTGTGGCTGAATTATTATTCTCTGCAAGTTAAAGGTTACCTAAATTAACACGGCTTTATTGTTCTTCATATAGTATTCTGTGATAAATTAATATAAATTTAATTTAAATAGAAGCTAGTAAGCATCCACTACACATGATAGAGGATAAAAAATACATGCCATGGTTTCTTTCTTGAAAGGGCTCACTTTTTGGGTGGTCATGCACATATGAGGCAAATGATATAAAAGACTGAAAATTCAGAGAAGATGCTTAGTACAAGAAGGTGAGGTTGATTATTTTATTAAGGAAGTAGAACTTGAATTGAGATTTGAAGGATGATTAGAATTTTAATAGAAATAAGGAACAATGGGTTTAAAACAAAATAACATTTTTAAAAATAGTGAGTAAGTTTTTGAGGAAAAATGATAGCATCTAAATTTAAAATGAGCAATTTAATAAAGCTGGAGATATTCAGAATCTTCTTGCCTGTAGATTAATAATCTCCTTCTATGGAATAATTTTCATTAGTGGGAGTTTTGATGGCTGAGATCCAAGAGCAGAGCTATTTGGTTGATGCCAAATGTTTGATTCATTGCTTACTACTTTGGGGATTTCAGAGAAGCTCTGTTGTACCAATTTGCATTCAGTAAGCTAAAGAAGAGTTGTCTTCCCAAGGAAACCCAGCCACAAAGACAAATTTCACAAACAAAAGATTTTTGGTTTAAGATCATCAATTGGAGATTTGGTCTCCATGCCCACGACCAGCTTCATTCATTCTTCCAGTTGAATTAAATAAATATTTATTGAATGCTCCGTCTGAAGCACTTGATATAGGAGCTGAAAACATAGCAATGAACAACCAGTCATGTTCTTGCCTTCAAGGAGCTCATGATCTGGTAGGAGACTGATATTGAATACATTAGCAAGTAAATGAATAATATAGTTTCAGATTGCAGTAATTACTTTGTGGAAGTTAAAAATAATAGGATAATAAAGAATGGGAAATAAGGATGAAGGCTCATTCTTGGGTAGGATTTTCTAAGTGGGCTGCTGTAAGCAGGTGACATTTGAACTAGTGCAAATGGCAGATATTTTCTTAGAATTTGCTTACTCTAACTCATGCTGAGGGCAGCCACATCATCACTGGAAGGTGTGCTTTGCTAGTCTTGCATCAGCTGGGGCCAGGCATTTTTGTCTTTACAATGGTTTTGTTGCACTGATACTGATTTGCAACAGGACTGGGCCATTTAGAAACCCCTCAAATCTTACTCTATCTTCTACATGGCCCCAGTAAAGTCATTCCTTAGCAGAGGATGAGAAGTATACCTTCTTTCTGACTTTCGTAAAAAGTTAAAACTAATGATCAATTAACTAATTAATAACAATTGGATTAATAATAAATGATAATTCATAAGCAAAAATTGTTAGACAATATTTTTAGAATTAAAAATATTCTATACGGTTCTCAGAATTGTTCTATGTACTATGGGGATATAGACAATTTCTTTCTGAAAGAAGATTTCAACCTGGTTGAGGAGTCAAGACATATGCATATGAAATAGTGAACAATAAAAGTATTACATTGGTGTTAAAGACCATATATCTTGCAGAATTTCAGGAGAAAATTAATTTTTTGAGCATTTATTATGTTTTGCATTTTATACATTGTGCAAAGTAATATCCTATAATCCTTGCAACCACCCTATAGGATTTGTATTTCAATCCCTGTTTTGTAGACGGAGAAACTGAAACTCATAGAGGTTGGTAATGTGTACAAAATCACAGAGCTTGCAAGTGATTTCCACTACTATATTTTTCCAAAAATGAGATTTATAGGGACTATAATAAAGAGAGATCAGTTTACAGAGAAGGTTAGACATGAATGGTACTTTGAAGAATTCATGGAAATTGTATAAACTGAGGAAAAAGAGGGTGTCCCAGTGTGAGGGTGGGGCCAGTACAATGAAGACATATATCTCTGTGTGGGACAATGAGCAATGGCAGTGGGACTGAGGGAGAGGATATTCACTTCCTTGAGTCAAATCCCATAATGTTCTCCCTGCTGTTCCTGGCACCAAGACTCTGGATTCCCTTTTCCTATGTGAGGTGTCTTGGCTCTCTAACCTGGGCAATTCAGGATTTCCTCCAGTGTCTCAGTGGGAACCTTCAGCCTGGAAAGCACTAGTGGGGGCCAGGGAGTGATGGAGAAGTCACGCTGCAACTCCCCCCAACCACACTCCCCCAGCCAGAGCCCCAGGGATAGGCTCAGCTGCCACACTCCACAAGTCAGGCTCTGCACAGAGCCTCTTGCTGTCTCCAGCCAGGCACACAGTGCCACGTGGGACCGTGAAAGGGGACCTTGCTGTTTAAAGCCGAGAAAACATTCATCATGTTTTCCTTCTTAGCTCATTTTACTGCTCATAGCACTCATCTTTTATGGGCCAGCCTAACGGCATTTCCCACTTCAGATGCTTCCTACTCACACTTTCTGCTTTTATTAGACTTTATTGGAAGCCCTGCACAGGCACAGAAAACCAAAGAGTTTTTGAGTCATTTTTAGTATTTTCACCCAGTGAAGCCAAAGTGGACAAAGGGGGCTGCCAAACGATTGCCAAGTCAATCTCTGGCAGTTCTCATTGTCGGGGAAGTTTTTGAACTCTGTGAAGAGGATTCTTGGAGTTCTCCCCATCTTGCTACACTCCGTATCCTTCCTCCGCACTTGGACAGATAAAGTCTGTCTTATGCTGTCTCTGTGCTGTCTTATGCTGTCATCTTACGATGTAACAGATAAGCCTCTAAATCTTAACATATTAATGTTTATGTCTCACTCATCTCACAATCCAACACGGATTTTCTTGTCAGGTGGTTTTTCTGCAAGTGATGATTCAGGAAACCCAGCTCCTTTCATTTCATGGCCCCATTATCTTCAACGCATAGCTTGGTCCCTCTCCATTCAGCTAGCAGATGGAGAAAGAATGAAAACTCGAACATGGGAGATATTTATAAGCCAGGTCTAGAACTGGTACATGACTCCTTCCCCATTCTAATGGTTAGAGCTCCAATGACCATACCTAACTGCAAGGGAAGCTGTGCAGTATGATCTAGCTGAGTTTCCAGGAAAAAAACAGATTTGTTAGGCATTAGGGAGTCTTTGCTAGCCCCTGAGCCAATCTAGCCTGAGCCAATCTTAATCTTCTTTTCCTATAAACTCAGCAGGTAAAGGTAAGGCTAACTTCCAGTCCTAGCTTCTCTGCAGCTTTACAAAACAATCTTGAGCAGTTGACTTTACTTCACTGGAGTTCAGTCCCTCTCTAAGAGAGATCTTTCAGTAGGAATTCCTTCTTATTCTCCTAAAACATCCCTAGGATTCATAAAATGCAGAGTGGACTTTTCTCAAGTGATAACTATAAAACAGGAAACATTTATCAAGTGCTTATTTCATGCCAGCTAAGTCCTCTATTTATTTTTATTTTTTTTTTCTCACTCTATCACCAGGTTGGAGTGCAGTGGTGTGATCATAGCTCACTGTAACCTCAAACTCCTGGGCTCAAGTGATCCTCCTGCCTCAGCCTCCTGAGTAGTTAGGACTACAAGCACCCACCACCATACTAGCTATTTAAATTTTTTTTTATTTTTTTTTATACAGATGGAGTCTCACTATGTTGCCCAAACTGGTCTCAAATTCCTGGCCTCAAGCAATCCTCCCACTTCGGCCTCCCAAAGTGCTAGGATTACAGGCATGAGCCACTGTGCCTGGCTTATGTCAGCTAAGTGCTTTACATAGTACATTGTCTTATTTAATTCTCAACTATAACATTATGAGATTGATATTATTATTATCATGCCCACTTCATACATGAGAGAAAAATGTAAAAAGACTTAGAATCTTGCTGAGGCCACACTCCAGCTGTCTGACTTTAAAGCCTGCATTATTAATTAATACATGATAAATTAGTTAAAGCAGACTTTTTTTTTTTTTTTTTGAGACTGAGTCTCACTCTGTTGCCGGGGCTAGAGTGCCGTGGCGTCAGCCCAGCTCACAGCAACCTCAAATTCCTGGGCTCAACCGATCCTCCTGCCTCAGCCTCCCGAGCAGCCGGGACTATAGGCATGCGCCACCATGCCCGGCTAATTTTTTTTTTCTATATGTATATTTTAATTGTCCAGCCAATTTCTTTCCATATTTAGTAGAGACGGGGGTCTCACTCTTGCTCAGGCTGGTCTCGAACTCCCGAGCTCAAATGATCCACCTGCCTCAGCCTCCCAGAGTGCTAGGATTACAGGCATGAGCCACTGCTCCCGGCCTAAAGCAGACTTTTAAAAAATATTTACTTGAAAAAAATGCTAAGAATGCTATAGATAAGTCATGGCCTAAAAAAGCTTATAGTATAACAGGAATCACCTCTTC